AAAAGTTATTTTAATTTTTAATATTAAATTCATACTAAATAATCAATCACGAACTAATCCCAAAGTTCAGAGACTAGTTACTCTTTCTCACGGGAACAACTTCGAACATTCATATTTCCGTATTTCATTTATACCCGAATGAAATATCTACATACGCAGAAATATTTCAAACAACACAAAAATCCAAATTGATTCGCGTGTCCAAACTATGTCTTATTAATATTTCACACCCACGTACAACTCTTCTTTTTCATTATTATTCATCCTAAAAAGACATAGTTTAAATTTTAAATATACAGCCGTTGCAAATTTCAAACGATTCCAAAGAGCTTTAGCCAATTACATAATTGTTTTACTTATGGGCGGAGCCAGGAATTAGACACATAAATATAAGCGTTTCCCGCAAAAACGGCAGTAGATCTTTAACTTTTCTCGTGTACAGTTCTCTCGCCGCGAATATAGTGCAAATTCGTTTTCTGTGCCGGTCAGTGTCCAAATAGCCAAAAAGGATTACTTCAAGTTTTAAAATCCATCACCCACGATTGTCTGAGTCGACCAACATAAGGGTTTACTAAGGAAAGAGAATTCTAGCAGAGTGGTGAGAAATAAGCCGTGTTTGCGCATTCTCCTCGACTCTCTTGCGATCCTCCGCTTTAACGCCCCTCCTCAGGGGGAAGTTTCCCTGGTGAAGTGCTTCACAGTGTTGGTGGTGTCGAGGAGTTCGCTACGCTCTCCGAATTATCCACTAGTACGGCCATATCTCCCTCACGACCCCTTCTTAGCGAAAGAGCGGGGTCAGGGCAAAACGACCTTCACCCGAGCGAGACCCGACGACAGTACAGAAGTCATTACGGAGAGAGGGTTTCAAGTCGATTGTATTTAAAACCTAGATTGACGGTAACAAAGATGTATACCTTATTCAAAAATAAATGTGAGGCTGACGGAAAACTGGTCTTGAAAAAATCTTTGTACGAAAAGATATTTAGAACAGAATTCAACCTGCATTTTTATATCCCCAAAAAGGACACATGCAAATTTTGCGATGCTTTCCAAATTGCTTTAAATTCTGAAAACGATGAGGCAAAATCTCTAGAAATTACAAGAAAACAGAAAGAGCACATTGAGATAGCTGCAAACGCTAGAAAAAGCTTAAATGATTTTAAAATAGAATGCTTGCAGCCCGAAAGTACAAGTGTATTAGTTACTTTCGATCTAGAACGGACACTTCCATTGCCCCACCTAAATACAGGGGAGGTCTATTATTTAAGGCAACTGCACGTCCTTAACTTTGGAATACATTCCTATCAACATGATGGAGAAAAAGTATCTATGAATCTGTGGTACGAAACTAAGGGTGCTAGAGGGTCCCAGGAGGTAGTTAGTTGTTTGTACCAGTATTTTGTGACTGTTGTGGTGGTCAAAACCGTAACTGGAATATGCTTTATTTTATGATGTACATGGTAAATGTCTCAGATAAACAAATGAATAATAGATGCCTAACGGTCTGGATTTGTTTGAATCCAGTATGAACCGTTTTATCTATTACTTTCTCTTTCTCTATGGTCTTCGATGTGATTCGTCTATTTTAAATAGCAGCGCCAAAATTTTCTCACAACTGTCAACAAGCAGTTGGGAATTGTCAATTTTGATTTTAAAATTTCTGTGTTATTATATTCCCAGAACGCCTTATTAAAGTTTTTTAGTTTCTAGTGTGTTTTTTAAACGATATTTATTAGTTTTAAGGGTAAAAATGACTAAGAAGTGTATTATTTGTTCTAAAAGATACATTTTGGGTGGTTTTACCTCCTTTCATTGGTAAGTAAATGAAAGACATAGGCGGCACCAGACACCATTGTAATTTTTTTAACTTAAGTATTGATATATTAATGTTTCAATACTAATGTAAATACTACGTTATGTGCCTAATTAAAAATGAATATATCGCACCATCAATACAAAATACCCAAAGCCACTCAAAAAAAATCGCAATTTAAGATACAAAATTCAAATACAACTTGACCAGACATTGTATTCTATTCCAAATTTAAGGCGTATTAATTGATATTATTTTGCTTCCTTATGTAAACATACACAGTTAATTTTAACAGCAATTTTCTTGAAATGCTACTTTCCTATAGTTGTGTTAGTATTGCCACCGTACCGATGAAGACCAATAGTCAGAAACACGTGACTACTGTTCACATTCCCTTTTTTTATAATTTTTCTTTTTCGGGAAATGTCCACTATTACTACCTTGATGACCTTCGCCCTATACCTTTTTCCGTTTATTAATATTATTGTTTTTAGAATCATGTTTTGTATACAATATTTATTTTAGTTAGTTGATTTCTATATTTTTTTTAAGAAATCCTCTATTTCCTATAAAAGTTTAATTCATACAATTAATTATATTAATACCTCACTGCTATTGTTATATTAAATTCTTTAATTCCTGTGATTATACTTGTTTAACAAAAATCGTATGTATTACCATTTTTAATGTTTGGATCTTCATAGGCTAGAACTGCACGGTAAAACCACTCCATTTTATCTTACTCATCAAATCAATAAATTGTTTTTGTTTTTAATAATAAATGTGATATTGATACGAAACATAAATGTTAGAGGGGTTTTCGAAAACTTTAAATTCTCCGTAAAAGCTTAAGTTTTTGCCCTCATGGTATTTCTGAATTTATTTTGACATCCATTTAACAAATCATCTACTGAGACTGGACTTTTTCAAGGCATTCAACAGGGTAAACCAGCTACTTTTAGCTAAACTTTTCAACATGATTTTGTGAAAATGATTGAATAGTATATACTTGTTTATCAAACATGTTCTGAATAAACATAAATCAACAGTATATAGGTAGGTATACTTACTGTAGGGTGACCATGTTTAGTTTAGCCCAATGCTGGATAATACAACATTGATGATGAACTTTGGTGAGGTGAAGACTTTTTTTTAAGTTTCCAAAGATACCATTCACAGAGAAATCACGTCGAGGACCGGTGGACCTATTTTTTTAGATTAATACAACAGAGAAGTCATATGTATTACGCTTTTGTCTTATTTGTTACATTTCAGTAAAAAGGGTTGTACAATTTCTACGTTTAAAAAGTACCTCCTGGAGCGGAGTAGAGCTAGATTTTTTAGTCACATGATCATCGAAATTATGTGAAATAAAAGACCGGCTATGGATTTGGTTGTTTTCGGTTTTCATTAAAATGATACACTTAAACCTTTCTTTTAAATCAAATTTGATCTCTCGTATAGTGGCGTTTGTTGCAAAGTAAAGTGCATTTTTAGCTGTGATATTTTTCGCCTTTTGCTTTCACTAAAAAATAAACCATGTTCTAATTTCTGTCTGAAGTTTTTTTATTAATATTTCTCTCTTAAATTTAATTCGGAGTAAATAGATCTTACTAGACGTACCAGCTCTGCATTAAAAGACCACGGAGCAGATCTTATCAAGAAGCCACAGATATAATAAAAGAACGGCTTCGAGTAAAAGGAGGTTACTTTTCAAACGCAGCAAATATAGTGAAATGCTGTATGTATGGTTACCCTAACGTGCTGTAGTATTAATAAACTTTAATGTAATTATACTTAGACTTATTGTATCCATATTGTCAAAATGCCAGAAGGAAGACTTCCATTTTAACATATAATATGCCCTAACCTAATAGATTGCGCCGAAAAATGGCCTTTATCCCTATTTTTATTATTTTTGTATTTTACAATCTACACACGAACTCAAATATCGCTACCTATTAAAGAGTTAAGTTAGAACACATAGAAAGCTATTACATTACGTGTTATTTCCTTATAATTTCATTAAAAAATAGCTTAGTTTACTTTTTGTAAAATAAAATTTTATGTTTGATTTACATTTTTCTTTAAATCCGTCCGTTACAAAATAATCCTTCGGATTCCGATGAAAAAACTACTTGATACGCCCATGTAGACCGCAGTACCACAGCTGTCAAAAGTTTGTAGATACTGGCTTCAAACAAAGCCTGTGTTAAACGGCGCCCGTTAGGTATCTATTTTTCATTTGTTTATCTGAGGTAAATGTGCTGCCAAATATTCAAGAAATATATGTCAATTATCTCGTTACGGGTCATACATATTTGCCCAACGATTGCGACTTTTCTTTTATCAGTCGAGCTCAAAAGAAACAAAGCAATCTCTACACACCAGAAGAATAGATAGATTTAATTAAAAACTACAAGAAACATAACCCATTCCAGGTAAATAATATGGTGGGAAAATTTGTGTCCTTTGAACACTTGCACGGAGTGTTCAAAGGATATCAAAGTTTAACTCGATTGGGTGTCATGATATCTAAAATGCGAAAAATAAAATTTACAAAGGGATCGTCAGTTATGGAGTACAACGATGATTATAGTGATATTTACAAGTCAGCCGAACTAAACAAAAGTGGTAATCTGTGTGATTTGTTAGAAACATTGAGAAGTTTCGCACCAGAGCCTGCAACGGAAACAAAACTTTTGTCGTTCAATAAAATGAAAGACATTAAAAAAATGCTTCAATATGTACCACCAATTCATCATCCCTTTTACGTTTCTCTACCCCACCACAACCGAAGAGGTGAAGTTGAAGACACCTTGGACGTACTACCACCATTTCGAGGTGACGAACTAACTGAAGTTTAAAAGAATTTAAAATTCTATATTGGTCTATGTTACAATTTTCATAAAAAAAAAATTATAATAAAATAAATTTCAAAAAAAAGTGTTGTTCCTCACTCGATATTGATTTTTATACCCTTTAGCCACAGCATCGTGTAACATGTTACACTATGTTTTAAATATTAAGTAGAGAGTATAAGCAAACGCGTTTGTCGCTTTTTCTCCCATATTACTTTTTGCTACATAGACGTCTAGTTCCAGGCTAGCTATATCTGTATAAATTACCAGTAGCATTTTTGTTATTTCCACTTAAAATTGCAGGATATTTAAAAAATAAGGCAAATAAACAAAATATTTTATTTTATCCAATTAAATAACAAGACAGATAAATATCGAAAAATAACATTGAACTAAAAGAACTCGTACATTTTAGCCTTTTACATAAAACTGCTGGTCTTTTTTTGAGTGACAACTGTGCATACCTTTCATGCTGTTTAGTGCAAATAATTGAAAACATTTATAATTTTCAAGGTTAGTTATTTTTAGAGACTATTTACTAGAGGAATTTAAATTGAAAAAAAATATAACTGGTACTATTAATACTAAAAATAAAAATTAGAGTTAAATTAAGAAACAAGCATCAGTAAAAAGTCTGAAATGTACAAGAGTTTTAATATAATTTTTATGCTTATAAAGACCTAAAGAAAAAAAAAATACTGAAGTTACCTAATTAGTTATTAGAAACAACAAAGATACAGTTGCTTTAATGTCACATTTTTATCACAAGTAATGTGCATCAAATATGTAATTAAAAGACTAATATTTTTATAAATTTTTCGACAAGTAAATTACTCTTTTTTTTGACTGATAATTAAGCAACAGCTTTAAGATGAGGTTCTTCTTTTTTAGCTACTCCTCCCAAAAGTTTTTTAATTTCAGCAATTGCTCTACCTGGATTCAAACCCTGTAAATCAAAAAAAAATTATAAATGTATTTAATATGTCAAATTTATCATTTATTAATATTTTAAATTTAAATGGGAACAAGAAAATAATTATTAAAATTTTTCACTGTTTTAATACTGATTTTTGTTAACGAGTCTTGCCGTTTTTTCTTGTTTATTGCAATTTATTTTCTTCACACTTCTTACTATAGTCCGTCAGATAGTGACAGGTTTAGGTGCCCCATTTTCGCATATAAGCCTCGAAGAGGGTTGAAAAGTACATCGATTTTAAGTAGAATGAAAGGAAATTTACGAGTGGCTGCTGAGGATAACACATGGAAAATTCTATTTTCCCTAACAAAAACGAAATATTATTTGATGCCCATTTTTCCACGCAAGCCATTTTCACTATATGATTAATTAATAATAATAATAATAATAAATAATAAATTTATTTAGCATTCAGTATCCATATACAATAATAAAATACATTAAAAAGTTCAAATAATATGTAAACTGGTCGCCCATTTATGACCAATTGGTTGCGCATGGGCTGCCAAATCATTACCTAATGTTAACTTAATATTGTGTGCTTATTTGATTCTAAAATACATTTAAAAAAAAAATATAAAACGGATATTAAAATAACTAGAAACATACAATATAATAACTCAGTTATAGACTTATATAATAATAATAATCATAATAATAATTATAATAATGATAATAAAAATAATTTTAATAATATTAATAATAATAATAATAAAAACAATAAATTGAATATATTTTAATAATTAGAATAAGTGAACAAAAAAAAACCAATAAAAGTAATTTATAAACTATAGTGGATTAAAAGGAAGTATATTTTACAGTACAAACACCAAGATCTAATAACACATTTTATCACAGTTAAATTTTTCTTTTTTTTTTTGCTAATCGATCAGCGCTCTCATAGCTTTTCTGTCACTATTTATTATGAATTTTTTCAATATTTGTTTAAATAGCTTAGAGGAATTTATTGTATATAAATATGTCTTATATATATCTGGAAGAAAATTAAAGATTTTTCCATTTAAATATAGGTAAAATCTTTGGGAAATTGATTTATTGACAAGGTGAGTATATACTAAATATTTATTTCTGGTGTTGTAAGAATATGTTCTTTTCTGTAAATTGTGTTTATTTTTGTATGTATATAAAGTGACTGCATATACATACAGCTGTCTAACATCCATAATTTTGACTTCATCAAACAAATGATCTGTGGGGTATCTAACCTTTTTATTATGTATTATTTTTAGTATTCTTTTTTGTAATATTTCCAATTTGTTAATATGATTTTTTGTTGCGCCACCCCAACAGATGATAGCATACTGAAGTCTACTTTGAAACAACGAGTAATAAATAATTCTTAGGTATGTAGTACTGATTATAGTTTTAAGATATTTAAATTTAAATAATAACATTCTTAAGGTGTTAGTTAAGCTATTTATGTGTTTATCCCATCGTAAGTGACAATCCAAGGTAACGCCTAAATATTTTATTTCATTTTTTTTTGTAGTGTGAGTGTTTCGTTGTTATATGTAAAACTGAGGTCATTAAAAGATGGTAAATGATTAATATAGCTAGCAAAAGGCAAAAAAAATGATTTTGTATAATTTATTGTTAGTTTCTTATGCGTACACCAATCCACTATTCCTTTTATATCATTTTCGCATATTTTTTTTAATTCCTCCCATGAGTCGGCTTCATAATAAATGGCTGTGTCGTCGGCAAAACTCACTATTTGTCCTGCAGTCTTTTGTATGTATAAGTTGTTTACATATATTGAAAATAATGTGGGTCCTAAGACGGTACCTTGGGGAACACCAGTTTTTATCATTCTCTCTCCGCTAAATTCGCTGTTAACTTTTACTTTCTGATATCTGTTCTCAAGATAACTTTTGAAGAGATTTAAAGTCGGTCCTCGTATTCCCGTATCCTCCAAGGCCTCTAATAATAGTCCGTGATCTACGGTATCAAAGGCCTTTGCAAAATCCAGAAATACAGTTAGGGATGGCCTATTTGCATCTACCGATTGATAAATCTTTGTCAACAGTTCCAGAATTGCATCAGTTGTAGAGAGCCCTTCTCGAAACCCGAATTGTTTATTAGATATGATTTCGTATTTGTTTAAATAATCCTTTAATCTAGTGTTTAATGCTTTTTCTATAATTTTTGTAAACGTTGTGATTAATGTTATCGGTCTGTAATTTGTTAACATTTTCTTGTTGCCTTTTTTAAATATTGGTATTACCAATGATTTTTTAAGTTCACTAGGAAATTCCCCTTTTGTAATTATTTGATTAGTTAAATGTGTTAACAGTGGTGTAAATATTTCGGTGTTTTCTTTAATAATTTCAGTGGTAATGTTGTCTATTCCTGGTGATTTTTTATTTGGAAGTGATCTAATAATATTTTTTATTTCTAATTGACTCATTGGTAACAGGACCATAGAATTTTTTTGTACATTTCTGACAGGGGAATGTGTATATGGAATTCCCACTTTATCAGCAAGTGTTATACCTACTTCGGCAAAAAAAATTATTGAATTCCTCTGCCAGTAATTTTGGCTCTGTTACTGCATGGCCATTTTCTGTGAGTATTTCTTGTATTTCATTATTGTTACTTTTTATATTATTACCTTGCAGTTCTTTAATAACTTTCCACAATCCTTTAGCGTTTTCTTTATTTTGTGTTATTTGTTTTGTATAATATTCTCTTTTTGATTTTTTAATAAGCCTATCTGTTACTAGCCTATAATTTAAAAAGATTTCTTTTTTTTCAATATTTTCTATGTCTTTTTTATAAATATTATGTAATCGATTTCGTTCTTTAATTGAATTAATAATACCCTTAGTTATCCACTGTTTTCTTTTCTTTGTTTGTTTTTTTTCATGAATGAGTTTTGTATTTTGATCCATGTATGTATTTATTGTATCTACTAGATAATTAATTTTTTGATTTGAATTATTTATGTCATAGAATGTTTCCCAGTTATGGCTTTCTATATTTTCTTTTAGGTTTATGTGATTTATTTTCTTAATGTAAGATTTTTTTTGTGCTGTTTCGGCTATTAAAGAGAGATATGCAATTGTAGCTTTATGGTCAGTAATTTGAGTATCATAAATTGCGGCTATGTGATTATCCGATTTATCGGAACTATAAAAAATGTGGTCTATACAACTTTTGGATTTCCCTTGTACTTTTGTGTATTTATTTATTAAAGATTCAAATTTATATTCACCTAAAATATTTAGATATGTGGATACTAAATCTGTCTGTTGTTTAATGTTTATATTAATGTCTCCTATAAAAACATGTCTACTAATTTTTAAATTAATTTTTGATTCTTCCAGGTATGTCAGAAGATTATCAACAAATTCTTCTTCCTTAACTGGAGGTGGTTTGTATAAAGATGTGATTAGAATTTCGTTTTTATTAGTTAATTTAATTATTGTTTGAATTGCCTTACACTGTCCGATTTGTACTATTTTATGGTTACATTTTAAATGTATTTTAATAAAAATTACTACTCCATCATTGCGGTTAATATCTCCCTTATTGTAAATTGAATTGTAACCAGGTAATTGAAATAAACTCATATCTGGAATATTAAGTGTTTCTGTAAGTACTATAACGTCAAAAGAATGATTTAATTGTGATAAAAAAATGTTCAATTCATCGAAATTTTTATTTAAACTACAAATATTCTGATGGAATATTTTGAATGTATTGGTTGTAATTGTTTTGTGGTATTCATTAATTTCTTGGAGATTCATAAATTCTATAGTATTGCACGGTTCGTGAATTATATCTCTAATGTATGGATCCATTTGTGATATAACAGTATTACAATTTTTAATGAAATATACCTACCACAAAAATAAGAAGATTAAAAAGATTAAAAATAATTAAAAGATTTAAAAGATTAACAAAATTAAAAAGATTAAAATTATTAAAGATAATGAGGAAGATGGTATGGCTATTTATTATTTTTACTTCCCAATCTTGGTCGTAAATTCGGTTGAGGATCCCTATTGTGTTTTTCTGGTTTATTCTTTGGCGTTTGATTGGTTACTAGTCTTTGAAAAACCAAAGGCTTTAATGTTGCAAGTGGCTAAAGGGTTGTAATAAGGGCGTAATCTTCTAAGGGAAAATCGAGATTTTGCCCGATTTTTCTACACAAGCCCATCGAATGTATGAAAACGTACGTCGTCACTAGTCCGAAAAATATATTTTCTTGAATGACCCGAATGTATAAGTGCATTTTGGGGTCGGAAAATTTTTCTGATAAGGAAAATCGAATTTTCCATATGTTATCCCCAAGAGCCACTCGTACATTTTATTTTTTTCTACTCAACATCTATGTACTTTTCAACCCTCTTCGAGGCTTGTATGCGAAAATGAGGCACCTAAATCGGTCATTATCTGACGGTCTACTAGCAGAGGCTTTCAGCAACCTTTTTAACATTCATGAGTTGACACTGTTTTTGGTCTCCTAGTCATTGACAAAGTTTCTTCAAAGTTATATCAACTCAGTTTTTAATTGCATAGGTAGATGGCACTAGCCGTTTGCAAGCAATGTTAAGATGGCTTCGGAAAGCATGACGCACATATTTGTAAGAATTACTGTCATAAAATGCTTGGATTTCGCTCAAGTCACTCAACCATACAACAGTACGGGTTAATCAACAGAATAGAAATAGAATTTATTCATCTTTGAGAATTATACACTATACAAAGACACTAGGTACAGGGTGAGCGAAACTCGATGTCTCAGCACCATTATGGGACAAGGGAAAAAGATAGGAAAAAGTTGAAAAGAGGTTCTTAAATGGGATAGAGTAAGGTCCGTTTTAAGCCCAATTTGCATATTTGTCCATATTTGGAAACTGAGGTAATGACGTCATCGATTTTTTTTTTTCGGAAACATACCTGTATTTTTACAAATTTAAAAAGAGCTAATTTTTCTGAACAAA